GTGGAACGAATATCATATAGAATTTAAATTCAAACCATTTATATGCCTATATGGGGCAAGTTGTTAGTAGAAAGGTATAGTTCCGACCATATTACGCATTGAGGCATGCAATAGGTGCTTAGATCTTTAGATGCATAAGTTAGTGTTGAACAGGTCGGCCACAGCCTCACAGGATAGGACAGGACATTAATTCCAGGCCAGTCTATCAAATGGGTAGTCCCTTAGTCGGGATACAACACCCGCGGGAAGAGCAGGGCTGGTGACAAATGTATTTTACTCCAGAACTGCTTACAAGGGAAACTCCTCCCGGTCTGATGTAGGCAGCGTGCATCCTGGCTCCGCTAACTCTTTCGTAGAACTCCATCATCTTCTCTCGCTCCTCGAACAGCCAGAAGAAAGGAGTGAGAGCACCCACGTCAAGCGCGTGGGTACCAACTGCCATGATGTGGTTTAATAGACGAGTTATTTCAGCGAAGAGAGCTGTAACAAAAAGAATAGATATGTAAAATAACTTCTATTATTTTTCTATGGGCTTTTTTTAAGGGGGGGAAATCATCCAATGTCTTCTCCCGCCTTAGGTTAGCCGAGAGCGAGTGTCCAGACTCTTATTTACTAAGAACCACACCGTTCCTACTCCTGCTCTTCGAGCCGGAGCCCCGGTAACCCGTTAAGTACTCGGCGGCTCCGTATCGGAATCAGCCCTATTGAGCCCCATCTGTGGTGGTCTGATGGGTCTTTGAGGTTCTGGTCGAGCGGCGAGCTACCCATGCTTGCCATCCGCAGACCCGCACTTACGGTGGCCGGAAATAGTATTTTTTTTAAGGGGGGAAAATCATCGAATGACTGCTCCCGCCCGGGTGAGGTGGGAGGGAGAGTCAGACTCTTACTGACTAAAAACCACCCCGTTCCTTCTCCTGCACGTCGAGCCGGAGCCCCGGTTACCCGTTAGGTTCTCCGCGAAGAGCTTATTGAAACCGTTTCACATTGAACATATATTTTTTATAAATGACTTGTTCTTGAATAGCTACAGTACTTACTTCGAATATATTTAGCTCTCAGCGGTATATCAATGTTGAGCAACTTCTCAACGGCCAAGCTATAGCATTGTTCATTGCACATCATGGACACATAGTCCAGTCGGTCGAAGTAAGGCAGCGCCTGGGTGTACGTCTTGTATTCTATCAGCTTCTCTGTGCCCCGGTGTAGGAGGCCGATGTGAGGGTCTGCTGCGCGGACCGTCTGGGGATTAAGAATAATAAATAAGTATTTTCTATACTAATATTATAAGGAGAACAGATTTGTACCTATTTTTGTATGTTTGTAATGAATAGGCTCAAAAAGTACTGGGCCGATTTAAAAAAATATTTCACCAATAGAATGCTACATTCTTCCAATTTAACATTGGGTACATTTCATTTTGAAAACAAAATAAGGATCCTTGGTAAAATTTGAATAATGTAACCGAAGGTGTAGAAAAATGTCGTCGAATGCGCTGCCGAAACTATTAGCGATAGAACAAAATAATGTACAACAATATTGAAGAACATCATAATGTCTACAAAAAACTTCGCGGTAGCATATGTCCAACTATTGTAGTTATGTCACTACAACAATTCAAATTTCCAAAAATAAATAATTGTCTACCCCGTGCGAAACCGGGACGGACTGCTAGTATTATATAACGCTGAAGAGTTTGTCTATTTGTTTGAACGCCCTAATCCTCGGAACTACTGGTCCGATTTGAATAATTATTTTTGTGTTGGATAGCTCATTTATCGAGGGAGGCTATAGGCTATAAAACATCACGCTACGATTAATAGGCACCAAGCATAGTGGGTATAACCGCGTGGAGGGAGCTAGTGTGTAATATTGAGTATACGATTAACTAAAAATTGCGGGTTTTCGCCCATATTGAGAAAAGATCTAAGCAAGTAGGCTGCGCGACATCCCTGGCCCTCTATGGCCCGAAACTAGTATTTTTTCTCAGTATATTCACGAGAGTAAACCGCGATTGTTAGTTACTTTAGTATGTCTCACGATAGTTGTTATAAAAACAGAGTATACAGTTGTTCATTGTCCTTAAACGATTTGCCTAATACGGCAGCTGTTTAACAAATAATTATGCACAATCGCTACTCACTTCTCCGTCCAGTTCAAGCACCAATCGCAACACTCCGTGAGCGGCCGGATGTTGAGGTCCGAAGTTGAGGACCATGTTCTTGACTTGCTTCTCTCCGGGAGCCACCACACCTGTGGGCAGAGGATATTGACATTAACAACATGTCGGAGACGCTGAACTGAATTAACTCGTCGAATACCGTCATTATAGACACAATTATAGAACAATAGGTTGCGGTCACCGGTGTCCTCGTGGTGTTTGACAGTTTAACTCGTCGAGTACCGTCATTATAGACACAATTATAGAACAATAGGTTGCGGTTACCGGTGACCGCTTGGTATTTGACAGTTTAATTGTATGTATGTGCGATGTTCGAAAGTTCAAAATTTCAACTACGATTTGAGCTGAATAGGCGCCGAGTAGAGCGTGTGAAACTGCGCAGGATTAGGTAGTATTTACATCCATATACATAACATCACGCCTTTTATCCCCAACAGTAGGTAGGCAGAGATGCACATTACGGTACTTAATGCCACTTTACAATGTAGCACCCGCTTTTCACTATTCATGTTACTAGTCCCACGTAATAAGAGTGAGCCTATTGCCATAAAAATTTTTTAAAAGACCCAGTAATACTTTGCTTGACCCGGGAATCGAGCCCGAGACACCTTGCTAGTCGCACTTGCTACCACTCAGCCAACGAAGCACTTAGCTAGTATACAATTAATTATTCATAGTATAATCAAAAACCACTCACCGTGGTAAGGTGGATGTTTCAGCAGCGAGGTGACATCGTCAGGGTACATGACGGCCCCCTCGAACTGCTTCACATACTCCGCATCTGGCATCCATCTGTGTGCGTTACGTTGGCTGCTGTGGAGAGACGTCATTACAATTTATTCACCAGTCTCCAGCTGTCCCAATGGCGCTACAAAGCTGAGTTTGTGTCTTCGTCAATTATATTATATTATAATTATACAACATGTAACGTAATTAACGCACACCCTCAAACATCCCAATTAGAATATTATGTTATAATTATTAATACATACACTAAATTTTTAATTTAACATGTATATGCATCCTTACTGGTCTTGTCATAAGGTTTATTTTTCTTTATTTTGTATTGATTGATAGAATTTGTATGAATACAAATAAAACTGCGATTTTAAAAGTCTTTATTTTAGAATTAATGGATTTATATGGACATTTTAAGATCTTTCACATATTAACTGTATACTCAAGTTTTCATAATAATTCTATTCTGTTACATTCTAAGTAGAAAAAGATTAATTGATACCCAGCTGATAGGTCCTCCCATTGGAACCAGGTGTTATTAACCTATCATTCAAGTTTGTTTTGTTGAATTGCAGAACAAGTGTAGTGACGCATGAAGCGTTTCAAATCACGACTTTAACTCTACATTATTCAATTAATCAGTTAAAAGCACCAACAGTAAAAAGCTTTATCAGCAAAATACGTAATATTTGTTAGGTTTTTAACCTCAAATGTTACATAATTTTTAAATCACAATTACACCACAGTTATAATTAAAATCGATGTTTTATGATAATAAGCACTCACTTCACATTATAAAGGGCTGGTAAATTCTTTGTTAAGGCCGCTGTTTGGCCCAAATTTGCGGATTTTCGCAGCAAAACACTGAACATAGAGGCCATTTTTGACGGGACTGCGTTCCGTTCCAAAACATTTCTGAAATGAACGAGACTGGGACATGTCATCATTTTGACAGAAAGTTTATTGATCAACGTCTAAAAAAATTAGCTATTAACGTATGAAATGTGAAAGTTTAAATTGTAGACTGATAGATAATACAATATTATTAAACATTGTTTATAATATCTAATTATTTGTTAAATTGGTCGATTAAAAAATCTGGAAGTGCGTTTATCATGTACTCTGCGTATAAAGGATCTCATACGTCAAATATCTCGCACACTGTCAGACACATCTTGGCATCATGGCTTTTATCAATGGACACAAAAGTGTAATAAAAGTTTTATAAAAAATATGAATCCCTTTATTCCTTGGTCACGACATAAATGGCTGGACCGATTTCAGTAATTAATTTTTTGTTGTATTTGTTATTATTAGGAGAAGGTTCTTAAGACTTAAAAACGTTTATTTATTTATTTATTTATTTAAAACCTTACCTAAAACTATCATTACAGTTTTCTCCATTGCGATAGCTTAGGTCTAAAACTAAATCTATGTACCTAATTACTAATACATATGCATACACAAACTTAATTAATCTTAACATTTATCCATAAAAAAAGAGATAATACTGACGACTTTATGGTCACGAGATCAGCGGTGAACTACTTACTAAATAACAATAATAAAAAAATTGAAATGAAATAATAATCTTAATTAACATTTAAATAACATAATATATACAACGTAACTTTTACGAATTCACTCACATTGCAACACAATACATCCACCCTTTCATGGACTTCGTTCACTACTCTCATAGCTCTAGTGAGAGGAGCCCTAGCTAGTAAGTTGTTCCTGGCTGCCGGCGCAGCGAGGAGAGGCGGGCGTCTCCTCTTCCACACATACCGGTCCGGCACACATAGCTGCAGGTGTCGCAGCACTCCCGGATTATGCGCTACGCCGCGCAGCAGCTTCACCACATACGCTACCAACGCAAAGTCCCTCCGCACCCTTAGCTCGTTGTACCCTACCATACCCAGAACAAATAGAGTAGGGTACATCAGGGGGTAAAATGGATAAACTCCATAAAGTTTGAAATACAAGTGCCTTGTAAATTTATTTTGAACACGTTCCAACATGACGCTGTATTTCGCCTCGTGCGGTGCCCATATAACTGCACTGTGCTCGAGGTGACTCCGCACTAATGTGTCATACAGTACCCTGAGTGTCGTGATGTTGGTGAACCCCTGAGTTTGTCTGAGTACAAAGCCCAGGTTCCTGTATGCCTTCCTACAGATCTTATTGATGTGTTCACGAAATGTCAGTTCTGGAGTGAAGACTACCCCTAAATCTCGTACCTGTGAGACTCGTTGCATCGGCTCGCCTTTCACCCTGTATTGATGCCACAAAGGAGCCCTAGCACGAGTAAATGACATCACCGAGCACTTGTCCACGTTAAAGTGAAGTCTGTTGACATTACTCCATTCAACCACTCGAT